GGTCAAGGGCGCGTGAGCGGGCAGGTCCCTCTGCTGGCCGGGCCCCGGAACTGAAGCTCTGTCGCTAAAAGAGGCCCGAAGCGTTGCTCTCTGTAGGGAGCCCGCAACATCGCATTAATTTGCGGTGTCATTAAGGTTTTTTTTTTAATTATTCTTGAATGCCCTATAGCAGTAAGACCTGAAAGTGCTTGCGTCGATGAAATGTCTGTAACCTATCACTTTTTTCAATATTTACTATCAATAGTAACTCTGAGAGAAACTTGTTACGTTACAAAGGAGCGGTCACTGCTGGGTAGATACCACACTGGTTCCAGACACCAGCCATCAGTTGTTAATAGTAATTCACCCCAAAACTCCAGAAGGAGTCAGTAACAAACCAGTGAGGCCACTGCGGTACAAGGATTGCCAATTCAGCCACTTTTGTCCAATGTGCATCCAGACCAGAGTTTTAAAATCCTTAAGTACCTGGCAGTGGTATGATTTTAACCGCATGTTATAAATTTTTCAGGCAAAAAGCAGCAGTAGGACAACTAGGAGCCTTGTTGTTGACCTGTGAGAGCACACACTGACCGGGAAACCAGCACCTGCAGAACTAGAACCCAGGCTGGCACTTCTCCAGGTGCTAGTATACCAGTTTTAAGACAATTCAAATTAGATCACATCTTAGCCGGAGTGTTTTTCAACTTACTACCTTAAAAAAAAAAAAGGAAGTTGTAAACTGTGAGGGTCTCGCATTACTGCATCGCTTATTTTGAAATATGGCAAACTGCAGTCAGCCACGTAACGAGCCTTTTCTGTGTTCCACCAGCCTGAGATTCCTTCTGATGACTCTGGCTAACAAATACAGTGCTGCCTTGGTTTTGTCACTCATGAATGTGGGTGCTAACTACAACTTTTAATAAAGAAAATTAGCCCCGTATTTAAAAGTTCCAAGCTCGTACAACAGGGTGAGAAAAAAGAAGCACATTTTATATCATTCTAAAAAAAATGATTCTACAAAAGGAGCATGTCAGTAACAGCAGATTCTGCTCTTTACCCTGTGCCTCAACAAATTAGCACCAACTCATTTTTTGAACATCTGCTTCGCAGGAGTGTTTTACTGAGTTACTGACTGAGCTTGACTTATTCAAAGCCACAAAACACTCACATTTTTAACGATTTTGAGCAATTAATTGAATTAGATCCCTATGCTGGAAGTTTAAACAGGAAGCGCTAAATCTGAGGAAAAATCACTTGTCCTGTTACATATGGATAGAATAGATGTTCTGGTCTACCCCTACTGATGCAGCTGGCAACTTGGACTACAAGTTGTGATGCTACAGCGTCACACAGGGAGAACAAAAGGCACCATGCAGTTACCTGCAATAAAATCTCAGATTATAAGCACTAGAAGAGATCAATGTATTTTCACCTTTATCTTTGTGCTCCATTCAATCGTAGCCAACAGACAGGTCACGGTTACCTGACACTTTCATGAGTGACCCTGCAGGTTACGAAGCTGAAGGAAGCAAACCACATTCCTACAGTGAACTTGAGCTTTGTACGCTACTGCCAAGTACCCTCACACTGAGGAATCAAACTGGGCAAGTCCAAAATTCCTAGTTACTGACTTTATCTTACTGAAAAATCCAATCTCAAGAGCTGTGCTTGGTTTATCAGATGCCGAACAGTAACTTTTACTACCTCTGCTCCAAACTTGTATTCAAGTTTGAGTTGTTGTAAGAAACAGCTTCCTGATACATCATAAGAGAATAACTTCCATTTTCAAATAAAATGGAAAAAAGTCATAAACCATTTATGTTTGTAGCGATTAAACGCAAATCCTGTGTCTGCAAAGAACTTCAGCTACAACTGTTATTCTCTTAAAGTAAATCAAGAGCTCTGTTATCTCATGATTATATTCTAAGGGCTCCAAACCGAAACTGCATCCTTCATCAGTCTTTAATAGAATTTTTCAGCTAGCATTATTTGTTATGGAAGGCAGAGGTGGCAGTGCTGCAAGTGGCTGTTACCATCTTTTAACATCTTGATCAGATTAATCTTGAACGTGAATCCAATAACAAGGCCAAACAGCTGTCATGATGGAGTCCCAATTGTGAACAGGGGGACAATGGACTTCTAAAATATCTTTCTGTGCATGATCACATTTTGTCCAACCTGACCTCTTCAGGTCAGGAAGTGGTTGTTGCTGACAGGTCCTACCAGTACCACAGGCAAAAAATTTCAGCGTCATTAGAAGGGAAATTTCACGGCAGTGTTTTACTACAATTTTACTTCTTTGCTTCCAGGAGGTTTTATTTAATTAAAACTATTATTCTGGCAAAGGAGGCCAGCAGCCTTCTGGACTGAAGAGAAGTGCTGCTGGCAAGCTAAGGGAGGTGACTAGTGAGAAATAAAGGGCTAGAGGCTTTGTTTTTTTCACTGATTGGTATTTATTACAAATACACATATTCATTGCTTATGATGTGCCTGCTGCACATTAGAAACAAAACCATATAGAACCAAAAGTGCTTCCATCAGAAAAGCCCTGTGATACACAAGACAGCGCAGAATTCTACTGCAAGTCATTTAATCTCAATTAGGTATAAACCCCCTTGAATATCTGAACATACTCTCTCATAAGAATTAGGTAATACTAACAATTACATATTGGTATCAAGGTGCTTCAGACCAAAAGCACAAGTGCTTTCAAGACAAATGTCAACTGAATTTGTTTTCACCAACAATTACTCCAGGCATGCTTTGCCACAGTGTTTTCAAAATATTTTTCAGAGGAACAACAAAATCCCTCAAATGCCTTTAGGTATGGCATTAAAGTTATCAGGCACTAAGACAGTTCAAAATACAAACCAACGGCTCTGCCAAGAAGAAATATAAAGGCTAGACAACTTTGCCCACTCCTGTACAGCTTTCTGCAGGATAATGTTTGATAAGCATAAAGCTTATTAAACTGCACTTAAATGTAAAAAAATGCAACATGCCACGGACTGGAATTTCTACAGGATTAGTTTCTTTTGCTGTCTTGCTGAGCCCAGAAATCTGTGAGACCCTTAGCCTCAACTTAGGGAAAAACTTAACCCTACACTCAATGGAGAACTATTGGACATGACTGGAAAGTCTCATACTGTCTTTAAATATGACATCATGTCTTCAGAATAACAAAAGAATGTTCCTTTCAACATGCATGAAAACAGACAAACCTAAGTAGTTGCCTCAGAACTGGAAACAAATTTACCTCTAGTCCAACAGCTCTTTGCTAAATCTCTTCCCCAGGAGGTAACAAACTTTAGATACATAGTCACCTGAATCCCCATTTGTTAAATACATATTTATTTAAAAAAAAAAAAAAGAAAGAAAGAAGAGATAGATACACCTGAAGAACTTGTGCTCAGGTATCGTGGAAGACTGCACATGGGTGACAATTGCAACTCCCATTTAAACTCATGCTCAGAGCCACTCAAATCTAAGTAGTTTTCGACATGCAGACACAAGTTTGTGACTATGCAGAAGAGGCATTATAACCATTAAAAAAAAAATAAAGAGAGAGCAGCACAAACCTTCTACCATGATGGACCATCCAGAAAACCAGAGGTCTCTGTGTCTTCCAAGTCTTACTCCCTATCTGACGGTAGCACAACCAGCTTTTATACCTGTGTTTGGCTGTGATATGTCAGAAAAATTGGGAATTATGCTAAGCATCTTTTTGTGCACTTGTTAATCAATCATCACTGCAATCTGATGTAAAGCAGCACATTTTCCAAAAGGGTAGTTCTAAAGGAAGAGGAATATGCTTTCCTTTGTATCCCCTATTTACCTGATTTTTTCAACTACATGTTTTGGAAAAAGAGTCTTAACAACCAGGTGAAACTTAAATATTCCCCAGTTACGGCCAATGCAGGCTTTGGTTTATACAAATGTAGTCCACACATGAAGATAACGTGAATTAGAAGAAGCGAAGTTAATGTCAGAACTTCCCATGCACTGCGCAGAAATTTAGGACAGTGTTTCACTATGAGACAAACATGCCTCCTCTTCTTCTAACAATACAACCTTCCGTCTGGAGAGAGACATCACGGACTTTATGACAGTTAAAGAAATTCTAACAAAAATGCGCAACGCAAGAAAAGCAAATGGGATTACAATCTGCATAAGATGGAAAATTGTTGTGCTAAATTCACTTAACAAGCACGTTAAAAAGAATGCCCCAAGGCTTACACAAGGGTAGAGAGCCAGCTTGGCAAACATGAAGGCATGCTCCTTGCCACCATACCTAGCAAAAGAATGCAAAGTTTCCTTCTCATGGAGGAGGGCTGTAGTCCATATTGCAAACTGAAATATGCTGGCAAAGAAAGTGATAACACAGCTGATCTGAATGGCTTCTATTTCATTGTGAGACTTCTCTGCAAATTCACTGGTGAGCTGGTAAGCTAGAGGGAGTCCACCAATGAAAGCCAATGACAGTATGTTAAGCAGTCCCATTAACCGTGTAGCTTTTGTTACATAAAGGAAAAGTGAGTGATGGACAAACCACAGGAGACCAATTGTTACAAATGAACCAAAGTAGGCAAGGTAGTTTGGCCCATATTCACTTAAAGCTTCAAGAAGGCTGCCATGGAACTTCTCTTCAACTTCTCTGGGATCAGGGACGTTGTCTTCACTGTGAAGAGAAAACTTTATTTATGCAGCAGATTACTGTTGTAAAAACACATCTAGAGCAACACTGAAATATGTTGCTTTACTCTAAGAAAGTTGAGAACAGGCATCCACTTTGTAGTTCTCTATTTTCAACTTAAACTCAGCATTTCAAATAGCTCTGCAAATAAATTAGATCTGAAAGGAAATCTGAAAGTAAGCGGGCATTGCATTAGGCTAATGTAACTTTAGGTAACTTTTCAGGTAACTTTATGAACTTGCAAGAGTGACTACACAGCTTTGGTTAATAAAAGCCTTTAATCTGAAAACATGACTAAGCAAGAAGGAAACTTTGTTTTTCAAAGCTCCCTGCCACAACATACACTGACGATCACCTATGCTGAAATGTGAGGATTAGAAGTGTCTTTTGTTTGTATTTCGTATCTTTCCAGAAAATCATAAAGTTATCGCTGCAGGTTTTAGAAATCAAAGTCAGTATTTAATTTCTTTTTCTTCCTCAAAAATTACATATGGACAAAAGTTAACATTATATTTAACAACACAAAATGTAGGAGGACACACAAAGCCTTACCATATATCCAAAATGAGCAGAGTTGCTACAATAGCATAGACTCCATCACTGAATGCTTCTACCCGTTCCTTACTCAGAGGCTCACTGAGGTAAAAAGTGAAGGTTTCTAAGCTATGGTGTTCCTCCTCTTCCTCTCTCTGACCTGGAAATAAATCTCGATGTTTACTAATGAAAGACAAAAAACAGGTAGAACAAAGCAAGGTAGTTTAACAACCTACTGTGGTCTCCCTTTCTCCTTCCACCCACCTGCCAAAATGTTTCTGTAGAAAGGTGCCATTCACCTACACAGGTCATTCTCCCCACTTTTTTTGGCAGCTGTACCTCGCCCTAAAGTTCACGTTGCTTTCAGGACAACAAGTACTCCAAGGGACAAGAAAGCCCTGCCCTTTAAACTGTATGGCAGGTCATTTCCACCAAGTGAATAATGACTCAACACTGTAATTGAACAAAACATTAGAGCTAAACAAATCAGGTGCTGTGCCTCAGGAAGCCCTAACAGTTGTAGGTCCTCTACTACGAGAGTGTAGAGAACTTACACTGCATGGAAGAAAAGAACTCACTGGAGCATGTGGGCTGCTCTGAAACATCAAATGGCCTGCCTAAAAATAAATCTAGTCTTTGGTCCAGTGGTGTGGCTGTGGAGCTTTTAGAAAAACGTCAAACATCCCTGAAGACTGGACTTTGAACTGCCCAGCTAGCCAAGCTGCATCACTTCAGAAGTGTACACAGGGTGAAGAAAAAGCTTACAGCTTCCAGAAGGAGAGGAACTGAATGAAAAGCAAATACAATTACAACTCAGTCAACAGAGCAGCAATTTATGTCAGCCATGTGACAGGGTGAGATGTACAGAGGTGTGACTTGACTGCAAACTGCAGTGCCCCCATCACAGTAGGCATAGGCAGTGCTTTTATGTCTTTAATCTCCGGCTCTGAAAGCCTGCTTTACCTGTTTCAGAGTATTTCTGCTTCCCTATTATTGCTGCCGCATGGGAGAGTCAAAAGTACGTTCCCATTTGCAGTGTACACAGATGGACTTGCATTAGGCTGAACAGCAGCAGCAGAAGCACAAAGGTGTTACTCTACTGACAGTAGTACCAATTCTAAAGATGTGATCTATCTAGTGTTTTTGTAGTCACTTTGTATTGCTCTCAAAGAGGGACATTCCATGTTTTGGTTTAGTAGGCTGCATGATACCATCTTCATTAATCTGTAACTGGCAACCTCCTTCTCAGCAGAGTTTAAGCATAGCTCTGGCTGCCTGTGTCATTGTGCAATTGTTATTGCTGACACAAGGAGGGCAGACAGTACATAGGCCAGGAATATGAGGGAAGGAAGCATGGATTTAGGCTGACTTAAGTCATGTGCGAAGGTACACCTTTAGACCACAGCAGTTAGATGAATTACCTTGTTAGTCTGAAAATGTGGGACCACACAATATCGCAGGGAAGTGATACAGGCACAGAGCTTGCTTCCTATACTTTTGAATCCCCCTTCTTTCGTTTTAGGAGAGAAAAGGGATAGATGACCTGCAGCCGTCACTCACATACTTGTGTGTGTGCACACGCGTACTTGGGACATACTAGAGAGGTTTTGCACTCAGAAATCATCTTTGAACATGTTGTGCCTTACAAAAATTGAATCACGAATTAAGGGAAAACAGGCAGCAAGGAAAGAATTGTTTGGAAACACAGCAATAAACCCCAAAATCACTATGTGTCAAGACTGAAAATGGAAGTATAACTAAAATTATTTCATTACAGGCTGTTTGGATAACATGTTGATAATCTAATAATATATCTGAACATATTCCTACAAATATTGTTACTCACCAACAATCTTGGTTTTACACCACGAAATGAATCGAGTGAGATGCGGAAAAACAATTACGAGCCCAAGAAGTACATAAGACTATGGAGAGGAAAATGAACACAGTTTAAATTTAGTTATAAAAAACACAAATCACGTTCCAAGTTTAATATAAAACTATTACTCTCAATCTTTAGGTATAATCATATTGACAAAAACCAAATATTGGCCTTATGACATGGAAAAGTCTCCCCTGAAATGTCCATGCACCTCCTGAGTATTGCGTATGCAACCTAATACTGCTTTTTGATAACTAATTTAGTAATAAAACACGCTAAACAAGAAGTGAAATAATTCTGCTAACAAAACTGCAGTAATGGTTTCTTTGAAGTTGGAGAACTATCCCACGTGATCCTTATGGGATCTTGAGATTCTACCATTCTACAATTCTACTACTTGTGTACCAAAGACACCTGAGTGGAACATTATTGGGTCACAGGTTTTGCACAGGTCTAAGCCACAAAAGCAATTTGGAGATTAATGTCAATGTTGTTAATATGGACAGAAAACACACTAGTGAACAAGGTGAGGGAGAAGAGGGAAGTAAGGGTGTAAAAGGAAAAAAAATTAGTTAAAATTTTGCCTTTTCACATTTCGACTCATAACTGTCCCTTTTATCAACAGGAACCTGATTTCTCTCAAATTCGGGGATTATTTAAACACTGCTAATTCCCATGGAATCTTTCTCAAAATTCAGTTAAATCCACCTTTTCCAAGAGAGAGGAAAGTAAACTCAGGATACATCCAAAAGCTACATTTCAGTTCCAAGCAAAAGTTCTGAGGAAGACAAAAACTATTACTAAGTAGGAGCAACTCCCAGCCATTTAATAAAGACAGCAGAGAAAAAGGCTGTGTAAGAGCACATCTTAGCCAAAATCACTTTATTCTGAGATGCAGGTTGGCTAACTGGTCTGCTTACTCTGTTTACTCTTACACTCTGAGTTAGCGAAGCCATTACATTCACTTGCCTTCTATTTGCGTGATGTGGTCTTTATTTCATGTAACCTTCCATGCTACCTCACTTACTTATGATGAGTAAGATGCTAAGTGACAGTTTAGAAGACCTGCTTCTAATTAAAAGAAGCATTAAAAAAAATCTGGCAGAGCAAGTAAAGCAAATACTGTAGCAAAATACTCCTTCAAATCTATCTCGACTCATGGATCAGATTAGACTGGTATCTGTAAACCGAACACCTTCAATGCAAAATAGCAGCCATGATTACACAACCACAGAGGTGGCAACTGAGAAAGTCTGCCTGTAACACAGACATCATTATTTTAATATACAGTTCTACATACAAATAATAGAAACTGCTCCACCAAATGTTTTTGTTAACTGGGAGAACTTACCAAAGGAATAAAGAAAAAAGAAAAGATGGCTGCTAAAAAGCACAAAATTGGTCCTCTGAGGATAATCTTTAGGATATGACGTTTATAGAAATTCTGATTTTCAGACACTTGTATCTGTCGATTCAGTAAGTGTGGGTGATAGAATCCATACGCTACTATCACAGCCTGCAAGGAAAGCATTACTGAAGTTATGACACACAAGTATATGCAGCATTTCAAACATAAAGCTGTAAAACTATAAATCAACCATTTCCTAAACACTTTCAACCTTAATTTCTTAACTTCCATATGGAGGTCTGCTGCTGAAAACACTGAGACTTCACAATACAACGCATGCCAAGATTTTAGTTTCCTCTGCAGAGCTTGTCATGGCCATGGATCTTGCATGAAGTTAAGACCTTCACAGCAAGGAACAGAAAGCAACAAGGCACTGCACCAGGAGAAAACCGGTGCCACTGGACTGAGGCTGAAAGCCCACATTCACTCAGCCATCGCGGAGTTCAGTAAGAACACCAACCGGAAAAGTCCATTGCTAATTCCCCAAGGCATTTTTAAAGAGTGGGAAAGGAATAACTATTTTGTGGACTTTTGAGATTAGTTAATTTAGTTGCATGTATCAGTTTCACAGGACAGTGACAATGCAAACTTCCATCTTAAGTACAGGTACTGCATTATCTCAACAGGCAAAACTTTGAAAAATAATGTCATACGAACAAAAAGGACATTCAGCAATTTATACCCATAATTAAGAAATGAAATTTTATTTGTACCCAAGAAAATCTATTTAAAAGTGAAAACATAAAAAGATAGCTCCAATACCTGTATAAGGCCAATGACAACAGCACAGACACTGAAGAGGAAGATGCCAAAAGGTACTCCTGGAAAGGAGGCCATTAAGGAAAACTAGGAAAAAAGGCAACTAGATCAAACATTTAATTAAGAAGCAACATAGGAATAACAGTAGAGAAACAGAAGTACTCTCCATTCAACACTGAAACTCAAAACCTAAATAATACTCTGCATTTCAATGTAATTCCACTAAATGTAAATTATAGCCACAAATACATGCAAAATCATAACCTCTCTGACACTATGTCTCCATAATAACTACAGACTGTTTTGTAGCTGAGCATTAAGTTTAACAGTGTCATCACCAGACGAGATCTTCATAGCTGTTAAAATTCTTTATATTAGGTTACCTTTAGCTTCTCTACCTCCATGGCTCCCTGTTGTATTTATTTCTAAGCTTCATTGAGAGGGGGGAAAGAAAGCAAGGAGTGGTACCAGGGTAACATTGACAACTTCCCAAAAATTATTTCAGCTTCAACGCAAAATAAAATGTATGTGCTCACGCTGATAAAGGTCATTTTACTGACTACACTGTTATTCTCTGCTGACTAATATATAACACACATATATATCCAAAGTGAAACAGGTGCCTGTCATATAAATCTGTTCTACAATAAAAGTCAAGATGCATTTTAAGCATCTGTTTTGTTGCTAACATAGTGTTCAGATTTAAAAGATGTTTGGGTGCCAGAATCAACCTTGCTGAGTAAGTCAAAAGTGGTATCAAAAACTCTGTCTAGATTACAAAAGAAATACGTTCTGTCATCTAAAGAGGAGTTTGAAATATAGCTTTAAGTGCCCTTACAAAATGCAAGATTCTCATCAGATAACTTTGATACTTTTCAATACAGCTGCTTTTTAAAAGGAAATCATGGGGCACCATGACTTTCCATGATCATAATTTTTCTTCTAGAATACTCATTTTCTGCCAGGTCTATAACATGCAGTAATTGATGGGTTTAACGCTTCCTCATGAATTTTAAAAAAGTCTTAACTATTACAGGGGATTCAGGGTTTATACTATAACAACACTTTCCTGTGTTTTTTAATAAATAAATAAATAAATTTAAACATGTCAGATTTTATAAAAGTACTTACTGTGTATGGCAAGAAAGTTATGATCATCATACATGCCTAAAAAAGAAAAAAGTATACTTAAACACTAGGTAAAATACAAAGCAAGCAACTCCCTCATTAGAGATGCACCCAAAGAATGGAACACAAACAGATCAAATACTTCTGTTGCATAATGAAAAAAAGACCAAAACATATTTCTGAAGTTGGTGAACTTTGGCTATAACAAATGGTTAGTTCTGTATATATACATCTTTCACATCTGCTATCCAAAGTGTACAGGCTCATTTTAGAAAATGCTAGCTTTGTTACAAATACCACAGCTAAAAGTTTTGCTATGGTTCTTAACAGACTTCTTTTTAAAGTAGCAATGCCAAAAGTACCACACCTCCTAAAGGGGCGTTTCTTATTTGCAAAAGTGTTTGATCACAAATATTTCACATATAAAAACATCAAATGAAAAAAAAAGACAAATCAAACACAGAGAAATGCATTGCTTTGAAAACTACATTAGATATGAATTCCATGTCTTAAGGTAGTCCTCTAGCATATTTTCCTGTGGTGTTACCTCATGAAGTTTAAACTCAGTATTTTTATTAACAAAATTACATTAACTGTGTGGTTGCACACTGTTAGGGAACAAAATTTTAAACAATATAGCAACATAGAAAGCTTGACATGAAAGGAAGAACATGTCCATCATTGTAGCATCCCATTACCACTATTAATAACCAAGATATTACAGGGTGCTTTGTTAAAAAACATACATAAATGAATTGTTAAGAGGGAAGATTTAGGCAAATGTAAAGCTCAGAACACTGATTCAGAGATTGGTGCCTTGGATAGTTTTTGAAAGATCATACACTACTCCAATTCAAGTAAGCTTCAGAATGACTGAAAATGTAACTGTAATTTGAACCTACCACTATAATATTTTTGTCAAAAAAAAAAAAGACATAGCATTTCACTTTCTTAAGCCTCGATGACAGATACTTCAGCTGGACGCAGATGAACAGATTCAAAAGCTTTTGCCACAGGTGCCTCTTCAATTCCCTCAGATGAACTTTAGACTAATCTCTTGCAGAGCTTCTTTTGACTTATAGTTAAAACACGTGGAAGTTAAAAGCAAGTTAGTTATCAATTAGCCACTTTAGCAAGGAGGAATTCAAGCTCTTTGCATCTTCCTGGTTTGGAAATTTGGAGAGTTATGCTATTTAAAATAGAAACTTCTGGATACGTACACATAGACTTAAGAAAAAGTGGCCCGTACTTACTAGCTAAACACCAAGCATGTCTGACAAGACTCACCAGATTCAGAAGAGCGAGTACATCATCTATAAGCTCTATCACCTGAAACAACCTGTCAAGGCAAGACGTGGTATCAGAAGCAAGCTAGCTCCCAAAATGTGTTTTACTATACTGTTTACAAACTGTAAATTTTTCAGTAAGGTTTCTTTTGCTCTAGAATTTATACAAGCAATCCAGGTGCTACCAAAACTCATTAGCTCAAACATGAAAGTAATTTCTTAGAAAAATTTGAACAGTAAGATACGAACACTGAAGTTCAGTCATGAAGCAGTTATTAAAAACCTCATTTCTATTTTAAGGACAGCTGGCATATAAGCTGGCTTACCTCCCACCCCATTATTCCTACACACTCAAAACTATACATTTACACTGATGAAATCTGACAATTGTTAACAGCAAATTCATACAGATGTCAGTTCTGACCCATCGATTCACATACCAAAAACCTAATAAGGCAGTGAACTATAAATGGGTGTTCTTCCTCGGAAAATTGAAGATATGGTGGGTGATTTGAGTGTAGGAGTTGATGATGACTCTCTGGGGACCTTGATACTGATTTTGTGTTTATTTCTATCTATTTCATTATTTTCTTATTGGTATTATTTTCTTCACTTTTTATTGTTGCTGTTTCATTAAAGCTGTTTTAGTTTTCCAATCTGTAAGTCTCTCTCTCCCCTGTTCCCTTTCCCTTGGGGAAGGGAGAGGGGCTAATAGAAACATCTGTCCTTTGTGTAGTGGCCAGCCTAGCCCTAACTCTTGGCAGATAACTTGCCAGCTAGACCAACTGCACCAGACTGGGGCTCTGACAGATTGCCTGAATAGTTCAAATTCTGGCTTGCTCTGTGGAAAGAGTAACAGATCTTTCCTTTGAGAGTCCTGAAGGGTTGGAAATTAAAGCAGATTGCTTTTATCATCTCATTGCTGAGCATAGTATTATATTGCATCATTTTTGAGTGAAGTGCTGTTACTGTGCCTTACCTGCCACATTTGCTGTGGTACTGTCTACTTATTTTTAGTGTTTATTTGCTGTTTCTCTGTTCTGGGTGCTGGGAGACTGCCAATGCTGTGCTATGGTGTTTAATACTGATCTATGCTGTGAACAACAAGCAACATGTGGTTCTCTTCAGCAT